GACTATCCGATGCATCTGTTATGGTTATCTCATACCCCCCTTTTTCTTTTCGTATGATTTTGCTTACTATACCTGCTGCTGTAGCATTATAAACCGTATTGTTACTCTTGCTCCCGTCGGGATAAATCTGACCTCTTCCCCTGTTCCCGCCTACGTATATAGGATATTTTAAGAAGCGAGCATCCTTCTTAGTAGCGGGGTCCGGGGAAAGAATAGGAAAGGTGATTTCACTATATTTCTTACCGGGGACAGGGCCCACCACAAGAATATTTTTTTTATTGGGGCGATAGCTCTGAAAAGACAAATTGCCTATCTTTTCTTTCATCTCGGTAGAAAGACGATCGGGAGGGGCTAATTCAAAACCCTCCGGTAAAATCAGAACAGCCCCCACATTCAAACCCCCTTTTTTACCATTAGAAAGAACTTGTTTCAGTTGCATATCATAAGGGATTCGAACAACTGCTTCAAATACAGTATCGGGAAGTACCGCTTGTGGTACCTCAATATCCACGGGCTTATTAGCTAAATGGCAATTGGCACATACAATACGGCCAGTTGCTTCTCGTGGATTTTCAAAACCCTGCTGCGCAAAAATGGGATATGCACTTGCAATGGATGTCCGAGTTATGATATATAGCATGAGCGATACGGAAATAGATCGAGTAATCTGTTTCTTTATGCAAGAAAAAGTATTTCTAGTTTGCATGGTCCAATCATTGATTCCAAAATTTATACAATAAAATAAATGGGGTAGGTCGCTAGTATAGTTCCCTATCCACGATTCTGCTATTTACTGGAATAAAAAAATATAGGATGAAGCTATATATAATAAGTAAGATTTTCAATGCTTTGTTTATCTACAACTACAAAGTAATAAACATTCAAATTGGATTAGATTCATATCAGTGCAATAGATCCTTTAATCAGTCATTCATTGAATGATAAATAACTACAAGTGACGGAGATACACGATTTAAATAACGGAAAATCCAATATTTCAAAATTGTATCGAGAATGACTGGAAAGGTGGAAACAAGACCAGATAGAATTTGATCATTATAACCAAATCCAAAATCTTGATAGATAGAGCCAATCATTAATTCCCAACCATGTGGTGAATGGAATCCGATACATAAATCAGTTAATAAAAGAATGGAAAAGACTTTGACTGTGTCGCTTAGGTTATATAGGAATTCCCGAGACCAAGAGTTAAGAATAACAAGGTTTTCATTACCCCAAATAGAATAACCGCTTAGAATAACAAAACAGATGAGATTTGTCGAGAAGTGCAAAATCGTATGGATATGACCCTCATTTTGTATCTTGATGAATTGGATTGTTTCTTTATGGATTCCTATACGAAACTCTTGTGGATGTGTCTCCGAGTATTCTTTGATCATTTCGTCCAAGAAGACGAATTCTTCTAATTCTATGAATTTTTCTAGAATACTCTTTTCTTGAATATCATTCAAGAAAATTTCGGATTGCCCAGTATTCCACCAATTAGTAATCCAAGATTCCAAACATTTCTTAAATGAGAAAGAAATCCACCAGGGCAAAAAGACTATAAATGAAAGATAGAAAAGAGGAGTGAATGCTTTCTTTTTTGCCATTTTTTCATGAGTTTTATCGAAGGTATGAATCTATTTTCTTGGTGAGTCTTTGAATCTAGAAAGAATACAGAAAGAAATAGGCTAAGAATCTTTTTTTGAGACGAACGAACTCCTTTTCTATCAAATTCTATCAAAATATCCAATCTTTCGAAAAAATTTCACTGATGACCCATAGTCAGGAATAGAATACTTGAGAGGAAAAGATATTGTGATGATAAAAAATGACTGGTAAAACAGAAATTGGCTCGGTATCATTCTTATTCTTAGTAAGAAATCCAATTGTTGATCATTAAAGAATACAAAAGAAGGGAGAAAAAGAAACTGCCAAAAAAAGAAATGATTTACAAGATATGCTAGATCTAAAGTATCAATTCCAACAAATATTGAAAAGAAAACGAAAGGGTTTGCTATCTGAGATGAATCTATTATTTGGATTTGTTATTGAAGTTATTGAGTTGTGTGAATTTGCGTACGCATAAAAGACCACAAAAGGAGTTTCGTTTTATGTTTGTTTCATATACGTTTGCTTTGGTTAAATGACTGTTCTGACGAAACATCAAGTTCAGTTAGAACCAAAGTAGTCTTGCGTTTTTTATTTTTTAGTTCCTTATTTTCAAAATACTTCAATTGGTACGCGCAAGAAATAGGCCAATTCAGCAGCTTTTTTTTCAATCTCTCCTGGAGTCAAATTCTCATCAGTACGAGTCAAAGGAATGGCCCTCTGGCCTCGGATGTCCATATAAAGGACACGACGAGCATAAATCCCCTCTTTCACTTCTATTCTAACAGACCGAATATCCTTTATAAGGAATCGGAGGAATATGCGACGATTTCTTCCAGGAAATCCCCAACGAAAAATACACACTATTCCTTCCCTTCTATCGAATAGATCATAACCACTACCTACATTCCAAGAAATAGTACACCATAAATAGGAGCTAATAAAGAGACCCGCAATTCCGTAGAACGACATGACTATCCCTTGTGGGAAAAAAATGATTTGCTGAGATGGAAAAAACGATATCAAATTTCTACCAAGATAACTGGAAATTCCAACTAATAAGAATCCTAATGAACCTAAAAAAAGGATAAAAGCCCAGCAGAAATTACTTATTTTTCGAGACCCTGGTAGAAGTTCTATCCATATATGTTCTGATCGCCAACTCATACTTGATCCGATTGTATTTTATTGGAATTTAGATAATACCCCAGAAAAATTGAACTTTGCTGTTTCCGAAGTCATCCTCATCAACTAGCACTAGTTTGATGGGAACCTTTAGGAGTAATTCATCAACTTGGTTAGATCTAAAATAAGAACCCCCTAATAGAATACGATTCTACTATCCGTATCGATATACATATTACATATAGATCCGCCGACTTCATTTTGAATTTTAAGTCATCCGGCGATCCTGATCTATTTTCAAATTGCTAGAATTCAAATATCCATATATCACGTTTCCACAAACCTTAAGAACCTTTTCCTTTATGTTCGGCGGAAATCACACGTTAGACTCTATTTCACTAACTAGATATCCGTGTTATGATACAATATAAGTCCAAGTTTTGAAAAAAAAATGGATGAGATTGGAATCCCGTTGAATCTAAACAATCTTATTGTTTTGAACATGAAGAAATAAAGAAGCCATTGCAATTGCCGGAAATACTAGGCCTACTAATGGTACAAAAATAGAGGGAAGGTTCATCATAGAAGGGTACCCCGATTTACTATTTGTATCTGTTATTCTTTCTAGAAATCTATTCTATAATATAAATCTATTCTATAAAATAAATAGAAATATCAAATAAAGATATCTTGTAATTAAGTAATAAAATAATTAGAATGAAGAATTTGAATTCTTATGAGTTCGTAGATAATTTTTTTATTTAGATTATATAGTAATAGAATTCTAGAATTTGGAATCGAAACGAAATAGGTAGAATAAGTGCAAAGAATGTAGAACTAAATAAATGGGCTTTTTCATCTTTCTACATGAGTCTATATGATAATCAACCTTATTATTTCTCTTCATTTATTTGTATTTTGTTCTTGTCTTCTAATTGAATAATTCAAATAGATATATAAAGAGTTTCTTACAGATTATTGCAGGATTAGCTAAAATGGTTTTTCGGGCGATAGAGAAAGCTAGAAAACTCTATTATCAATATTGGAATTATCAAATTTAGACCCCTAGAAGAAGAAATTTTGTTTCTCTAATTTCACGAAAGGAAGAATTCACTCTTCAGGTTTATTGATTCGTAATCAGGATTAGAATTATAGGATAGGTAAAAAAAAGAGTTATCCGCAACTTTTGTTGCTTTCTGCAATTAGATCTTCTGTTCCCAAAGAAACTCTCTTTTTTCCTTTGATTTCGAGAAAATCACTCCTTCTTTCTTTGTTCTTTGCTACAAATCAAAATAAAATAATTGAACTTAACGCTCTACTTGATTTGAATTTTGATTCAAAGGAAAAAGGGCGTGGAACTCAAATAACTCACTCAGAACGCTTTTTAAAAGATGACGTGGTACAATTAAGTCAAATAAACCCTTCTCGAATAAATATTCAGCCTCTTGTGAACCTTCAGGTACTGTTTGATTCAATGTTTGTTCAATGACTCTTTTACCCGCAAATGCAACGTAAGCATTGGGTTCGACAATGATAACATCCCCTAACATACCAAAACTGGCTGTTACTCCACCAGTTGTAGGAGATGTAAGGATTGATACATAAAATAACCTTTTATTTAATTGATACTCATATAAAGCAGACGATATTTTAGCCATTTGCATCAAGCTCAAACTTCCTTCTTGCATGCGCGCACCCCCTGAAGCACACACTATAATAAGGGGTAAAAAGTTGTTGGTAGCGTGCTCAATCAAACGGGTGATTTTCTCCCCGACTACGGATCCCATACTACCCCCCAAAAAATGAAAATCCATAACCCCAATTGCTACGGGAATACCGTTTAGTTGGCCTATGCCTGTTTGAACAGCTTCAGTTAATCCTGTTTTTGTTTGATAAAAATCAATACGATCTTTATAAGTCTCCTCCTCCTCCTGCTCCTGCTCCCGCTCCCGCTCCTGCTCCCGCTCCTGCTCCCCCTCCGAATCAAATTCAATGGGATCCCGAGAAACCATGTATTCATCCATAGGATCCCACGTACCCGGATCGATCAAAAGTTCAATTCTATCTGAACTACTCATTTTCAAATGATATCCACATTGTTCACAAATATTCATTTTTGATTTCAAAAATTTCTTATAATTTAATCCATAACAATTTTCGCATTGAAGCCACAAATCCCTATATTTTTTAGTTCGATCGAGATCATTAGAACTTTCTCTTTCATTCTCATTAGAACTTTCTCTTTCATTCTCATTAGAACT